AGAGAGAATATCTCAGAGAGCAGACACAGCACAATGAAGGTCCAAATAGGAATGCTGATTGGCATATTTAAGGAGCAGAAAGGAGGCCAATGGACAGAAATACAGGGAATGAAGGAGAAAATTATGTTAGATGAGCCTAGGAGGTATGTAGGGCCCAAAATATGTGGAGTTTTATAGTTCAATGGAAGAATTTTGAAAACATTTTAGACTTCATGTGATATTTAATTAGACATTCATGTTAGTGGAAGCTCCACTTTGATAATCTAAATTTGAGGCCCTTGATGGAGTTTTTCTGAGCTAGACATATCACCCTAGTTTCCAAGTATGAAATCTGAGTTGGAGGGAGAGATTTCAGGATCATAAGCTGTAGGAGTAGATGAGCTTGACTGGTCAGTATGAGTGGAGTGGAAAGGTTAGGGCTAAGACTAGGGGTACAGAAGGGTGAGTCAGCAAAGGAGATGGTGGTACATTCAGAGAAAAAGGAGGTGAATCAGAGGAGACAAGAGAAAGTAATGGTCAAGAGATGTCAAATATCTGATAAAGATCCATGTGGTTTGCAATTAGGAGGTCTTACTGATAGCAGGTTTATAACTTGATTCAGATAGAACCTAGATCACAGTGGTTTCATGACTACACCTAAGGTGAAGAACTAGAGACAATGAATAGAAACATCTTTTTAAAGAAACCTTGCTATGAGACTTGCTCTTCTGGCCAAGATGAAGAAACAGGAACTGGATTTACCCTCCCTGCTTAAACAACTAAAACACTAGACAGAAGTATAGGAAACAACACTTAAAACATTGGATATCAGTAAAGGACAGTAATATCTTAGAGACAAAAAACAAATGATAGGAGCCATACAATGGTCCCAGATCACTGCCTGATATGGTTTGGCTGTGTTCCCACCCAAATCCCATCTTGAATTGTAGTTTCCATAATCCCCATGTGTTGTGGGAGGGACCTAGTGGGAGACAATTGAATCATGGGGGCGGTTACCTACAGGCTGCTGTTCTCATGATAGTGAGTGAATTCTCATAAGATCTTATGGTTTTATAAGATGTTTTTTCCCCTTTGCTCGCCACTTCTCTCTCCAGCTGCCATATGAAGAAGGACATGTTAGATTCCCCTTCCACCATAATTGTAAGTTTCCTGAGGGCTCTCCAGCCATACAGAACTGTGAGTCAATTAAACCTCTTTCCTTTATAAATTACCCAGTCTTGGGTATTTCTTTATAGCAGCATGAGAATGGACTAATACACTACCTGAAGGAGTCATCCAGGCTACAGTGCAGAAGGAAGGAATTGAATCATCCTGGCCCAGGAGCTGGAGATGGAACTGGAGATGGAAGTGTAGGGAGCCAGGGCAGCTAGTATCCACAGGAAGAGTATCAGGTAAGAGAAAGAATACTCTGGAAGTCTGAAGCGTGTCCCCCTTGAGGATTTAGTTGATTTTTGATCAGATTATACACAGGAACAAACCACCTGAGACCAGGAAAAGAACAACACAAAAAGGTCTGATGCTGACCAAGGGCTGGGAATAGTGTCTGTCTCAACAGCCAGAGGGGAGAGCTGTGAAATTTGAGGTGTATATGTTGAGGGGAAGTCAGTTACCAGTTAAAGTAAAAAGAAGGATTTTTGCCTCAAAGTGTGGAAAGGGTAAACCTAGTTTAAAACCAGCTATAGTCCCACCTAACAAAACTCACATGCAAGAACTGAATGGATAAACTGTCTCTAAATTTTTAATTGTCTTAGAACAAGCTCAAGAACAGTCATAGGAATACAAAAAAACAAATAACAAGGTAAAATCCACAATATCTGACATCCTATCAAAAATTATCAGGCATACAAAGAAGAAGAAAAATATAAGCCATAATGTGGAGAAAAATCAATCAACCCAAAGTACACAAAAATGACACAGATGTTAGTAGTACAAAAGTTATTATTAATGTATATTCAAGAAGCTAGAGAGAAGAGTGGACATGTTTAGATATGGAAGATATAAAAAAGACTCATTGCTTTATATTGTCCTGTAATTAAAAAAAAAAAAAGATTCAAGTTGAAATTCTAGAGATGAAAGCTACCAGGTATAAGGTGCAAAATACACTGGATAGCATTGGCAGAAATCAGATATTACAGAAAAAAAGATTAGTGAACTCAAAGACATTGCAATAGAGAGTATCCAAAATAAAATATTAAGGAAAAACTGAGCAAAACAGAAGCAAAAACAGATCACCAACAAACTATGGACCAATATACACTCACCATCTCACTCAGTCATTCTGGTTTTAAGTATTTTCCAAGAGAATTAAAGTTTTATGTTCATAAAAAGACTTGAATATGAATGTCAAGGCAGCTTTATTCATAAAAGCTTCAAGTGAAAATAACCAAAAATTCATGAGCAGTAGAATTGATTAAAAATTTTGAAGTATATCATATAATGAAATACTGCCCAGCAATAAAAAAGAAGAAACTATTGCTACATGTAACAATATGAGTGGATTCAAAAATAATGATGCTAAGTGAAAGAAGTCAGACAAAGAGTACCTACTGTGGAATTATATTTATGTGCAATTCTAGAAAATGCAAACAAATCTCTAGTGATAGAAAGCAGATCAATGGAGGAGGGGTGAGGAAGAGGCAAAAGGAAGGAATTACAAAGGTACGTGTGGAAATTTGGGGAAGTGACGTATATCTTCATTTTCTTGGTTGCAATGATGGCTTCCTGAGCATATAACATGTATGCATATGTGTAAGAATATATCCAATTGAATATTTTACACTTTTGTAGCTTTGTATATATTCAGTGATATCTATTTATTGCCTCTGCTTCTTTACCTTAGGTTTGGTCATGAAACCACTGGGTTTCATGTGGTCTGGGTTCTACCGGAATCAAGCTATGAACTTGCTATCAGTAAGACCTCCTAACTGCAAACCACATGGACCTTTACAAGTTATTTGACTTCTCTTGATCATTACCTTTTCTAGTCTCCACTGATTCACCTCCTTTTGAATCTCAACAAGCTCCATAGTATCTCAATGATATCTTAACAAAGCTGTTACAAATAAATGACTTTGAAACAAAGGAGAGAAATGGCTCAGGAGCTAGGAGAATATGCAGGGTTGAGTTGCAAAGAGTTGATTTTGTTTGTATTTTGGGCAGGGGATGAGGCTTGGACTGGAGAGAAAGGAGATAAGGATGTAAACACACATGTAGGGCATACCACCCCCTATGTTTTATTCTCTAAATCCTTAACCCTGAGAATAAGTTCTTATTCTTGAGTATCAACGACATTATCTTAAGCTAAATTAATCAAGCCTCCACAGTGTTCTTCTCTCAACAGTGGTGTGGGCCTCCCTAGAAGTAATTTCTCCCAAATTCAATGATACCTTTTAAGTTCAGATTTTAATTGATATGAATCTGTGATACACTCTAAAATAAGATTATTTTATTGAAAAGTGGACTGTAACTTTCCTTTTATCTAGGAAGGGTTCTAAGTTAGAAGATGTTTTGCACTTTTACCAAAGGCTCTGTCATGTAAGCACCAGGAGCAACTCTGAAAGCCTTGATATTTGTGTTTCCAGCATGTGTTTGTGTAATACAGAAAGAGAAGCAGTTGTCAAGTGAAATGATGTTGGTCTCCAAAATTATAGTTTGATCCCACAAACACATACACACAAAGGATTGTTTGCTTCACAGTTTTTGATATTTAATTCAATGCTGTTGGAACAGCACAAAACTAAGTGTCAGCTTAACAGAATCACTTGTCCTTTTAGCATTAAAGTAACATGTAACTTAATGCTTTAATTTCCCAACATGCCATTTTATTTAGAAAGATTCAGACTTTCATTTTATTTAGAAATAAAATGCCATTTTATTTAGAAAGATCCAGGAGCATTCATTCACGGAACTTTAAGATCTCAGTCCACTGCATAAAATCTTGATTTTGTAATAACAATTTCTGTATCTTGCATATTCATTCAACAGGTTTAACGCGAGGAGCAAATTAATGTTCATCGTTTTTAACATGTTTCAACTTAATCAGAACCCACATTCTCAATTAACGTTAATTGAATGTACATAGGACTATACAAGGGTTAGCAAATAAGAGAGAAACTGTTGCTCATTTAACTACTGTCACTTTGGACCAAAAAAAAAAAAAAATTTTAAAAATTGCGCTTAAAAGAGTCTCTAGAAGCTGGAAGCGTGGCTCTTTTTCAGTAAACTAGGGGAAAAGGTTTACCGTGTTCCCCCTTTGGGGAATTTTGAGTCGCCACACTCATGTCAAGACCGAACCTGGCTCACTGCGTCTGGGAGAGTACTTGAGGAAGGCTGATGTCCTAGAAAAACCAGCTGAGGGAAGGGGCTGAAGCCCATGAAACCAGTTCTCAGCTCCGCGCCGAGGGGTCGGGAGCGGGGGGCAGCTTTGCGATCCTCTAGCTCGAGACTTCCCGCAGCTGCCTCCGACTTGTTCTAAGTGCAGGAAAAATCGGTGCGCCCAGTTGCCTCTCTCCAAAAGCGCGCAGCTGTGCCCAGTGAGGATGCCGCGCTCGTCCTGGAGATGTCCCACCGCAAAGAGCATTCAGATGCTTCCTACTCTGGCGCCCAGTGGCTTGGTAAGTCCTGTTGGCAGGCGACAAGAATTGTCTGGGCTGCTCCTATCTCTGACAGGACTAGACGGGGCGTGAAGGAAAGAAGAAAAGCAGGGATCGGGCACTGCCCGAGGGCAGACACTTGAGCTTTGGTGTTGTCCAGCGCGCTCGGAGCGCGCTGCCTCGCTCGTGCTGTCCCGGGCCCCGCTTCTTCGGGCAGTGCCTGGGGCGGGAGGGTTGGGGTGTGGGTGGCTCCCTAAGCCAACACTCGTGCGGCTGCGGTTTCAGCCCCCTCCCCCCCCCACCCGGGGGCGGGAAGTGGCGGGTAGGAGTCACCCAAACGTGATTGCCCGAGGCCCCTCCTGCTGCGGCGAGGAAGCTCCATAAAAGCCCGGTTGCGACCCGCTCTCTGCACCCCATCCGCTGGCTCTCACCCCTCGGAGACGCGCGCCCGACAGCAGAGAACTTGCCGCCCAGCCACGCCCGCACGCCAGCCACCGTGAGTGCTACGACCCATTTGTCTAGGGGTGGGAGCGAAGGGGCGCCCATGAACTTGCTAGAGGCGCAGCCTTCGGCTCTGTGGAGCTCTAGGGCGCCGGGAGGGTCGCACCCCGTTCCCCAGCCGGGACTATGCCGGCTCGGCGCCCCGACGCGGACCAGCCCTCTTGGCGGCTAAATTCCACTTGTCCCTCTGCTCCCCTCTGATTGTCCACTGCCCTTCTCCCGGGCCCTTCCCGCTGGGCGGTTCTTCTGAGTTACCTTTTGGCAGATATGGAGGGAGAACCCGGGACCCCTATCCCAAGGCAGCTGGCGGTCTCCCTGCGGGTCGCTGTCTTGAGGCCCAGAAAGAGATGCGCGGTAGGAAGGTTTCCCTGGCAGCGCCATCGAGTGAGGAATCCCTGGCGCTCGGGAGCCCCGCGCCCTGCCATCTGCCTGGATTCTTGGGCTCCAAATCTCTTGGGAGCAATTCTGGCCCAGGGAGCAATTCTTTTCCCCCTTCCCCACCGCAGTCATCACCCTGAGGTGATCTCTACCGTCAGCGTTGATCCCCTGAAGCTAGGCAGACCGAAAGTAACAGAGAAGAAAGTTTTCCTCCCAGACAAGAGTTTGGGCAAGAGGGGAGAAAAGTGATCCAGCAGGAGGAACTTCCAATTTGATTTTGAAAGTGTCTAAACTGGCGGGGCCCCCACCTTGCACCTCTCGCCGCGCGCTTCTTGGTCCCCGAGACTTGGAACGAAGTTGCGCGAAGTTTTCAGGTGGAGCAGAGGGGCAGGTCCGGGCCAGACGGCACCCAGAGTCCGCAAGGTGGTGCTAGCCACGCCTGGGTTCTCTCTGCGGGACTGGGACGAGAGCGGATTGGGGGTCGCGGGTGGTAGCAGAAGGAGGAGCGCGGGAGGCAGAGGAGGGAGGTGCTGCGCGTGGGTCCTCTGAATCCCCAAGCCCGTCCGTTGAGCCTTCTGTGCCCGCAGATGCTAGGTAGCAAGCGACTGGGGCTGTCCGGACTGACCCTCGCCCTGTCCCTGCTCGTGTGCCTGGGTGCGCTGGCCGAGGCGTACCCTTCCAAACCGGACAACCCGGGCGAGGACGCGCCAGCGGAGGACATGGCCAGATACTACTCGGCGCTGCGACACTACATCAACCTCATCACCAGGCAGAGGTGGGTGGGCCCGCGGGACCGACTCCAGGAGCGCCAGTGCCTGCACACCAGGAGATCCTGGTTAGGGGAAGGGATTGTTTCTTTTCCTTCGCTCTATCCCAGGGCAGGACAGTATCAGGCTCTTAGTCAGCTCTAGGTAAATGTTTGTGCGGGGCACACTGCGCACAAAATGGATACCTTCCATTTTGTGCAACTACAGTCACAGAGTCGTGATCCCCAGATTCAGGTTCCCCAGGCTGGTAGGCTGGCAATCTCCTCTCACTCACCTCTTGTGGTTTGTTGTGGTTCTTACAGCAGTGGGGGCCTGTCCAGAAATCTCGAAAGTACCCAGTGAAAGGGGCAAGAATGCGCCAGAGAAATGCTGTAGGGAGAAAGGCTAGCAAGGTGTCTAGGAAAAACAGAACGACCACCAAAGAAAACCAAACCAAGGAGTAAACTGCAGGGTTGCCCCAGACATTGTTAGACTTTCCAGCCTGCCTAGGGCTAATTGAATGACAGTATTTAGAAAAAGACAAATAGAGCTATTTTCTTTTCTTCTGTACTGTGTTTTTTTTGCAGTCTCAGTCTCATACTTGAAAATCCTAGTCCCAGTAATTAGAGATTTAGCCTGAAAACAGTTTATCTAAAATGCAGAGACTCTCCCTATTTTATAGCTGGTGAATTCTGAAAAGAAAGTGCCCACTTGGTATTTCATTAAGAAGAAACTTACATTGGTCCAGTAACTTTAGGATGAATCCACGGATTACATGGAATCTGAGAAGTTGTAAACTTTATTCTGGACATTCAGAAAGTCAAAATGAAATGCCACATTTTCACTCTCAACATTGACAATTAAGGGAAAAATCAAATCCAAACTATTTTACAAATTACATAGGATTTAAATTTCGTTTTCAAAATTAGTTGATCTTAGCTCTAAATCATTTAACATCTTATTTTAATTACTAAGATTAAATTATTTTAATCATTTGACCATATCTAAAGGATAAGCCCTTTAGAAGCATGAATGTTAGTTAACATGTTTAAATTATATGTTTAAAGTATTGTGGGGTTTATTTATTTATTTAGTCCATATTTTTACTGTTTACAAGTCAGGGAGTAGTTGGAAAGGATCCAAAAAGGGGAGAATCTGTACTTCTAAAATCAAGTTTGCTTTTTCCTGTTTCATCAAAAAGGTATTCAACATCCTAAAAAAACTTTTGAAAAAGCTCCAATTTATATAGAATCTGAAAAACATGAAAATGCCAGAATTAAATAGTATTGGTTTGTGATCCCTTGAAATCTGATCATTTTAATTAGCAAAAAGCAATAATATTTTATATTCCATACTTCCCAGAAAGTTAATTGATTCAAATTCTTGCTATGCTATGCTGTCATTCAGATCAAAGAGAACTTGTACAAACAAAAATATGTTAACTGTTTTTTCTAGAAAAACCTTTGTTAGTTATTTAGTTATAGCATAATATACAGTAGAACTCAGTTTTCCAAAGATGATTGCTCTAAAGCTTTACAATTTTACAAAGCTCTAGCATTTTAAAATATTTTCCTAGGCATTATCTCATTCAGTCTTTACCTCAAAGCTTTGAAGGGAGTATAATTATCTCCATTTCACAAATCATGAAGCTAAGGACATTTCATGAAAGCTATTTTTATAGGAATTATGGAATTGGGGGCCTCCTTTGAGTTTCTTTGGATGTTGTCACCACCATCAACAGGCAGTGTTATCTCCAACATGTTTGATGAGGAAAAAAAACATAAAGGAAAGGGACTTAGGTTTCATGGAAAGAGATTCAGCTTAGATGGGAATGAGCTGGTCTCTGAGGCAGAGTTTCCTGTCTCACCTTCATGTAAACTCCTTCTTAGAAACCAGCAGAGGCTCTTAACATACATCCGTCTTCTCCTTCCCACCACAGACACCCACTCCTATGTGTGTTTCTGAAAATTACAGGGTCATTTGTGGATGTGCTTTAATTTACTATAGATGTAATCTGATATCATTATCTTTCTTCTCCCCGCCCTGACCCCCGTTCCCCCTACACTCAATTTGTGCTTATATTCTTGTTGCTGTATATATACCCCTGGCTCATTGCTTCTGGAAGCTGCATTACTTATTCTAGAGTGTGGGTCTCCTACAATTTACTTATATGGCCCCCTAAATCAGTGGTTCTCACCTGAGGGTGATTTTATGCTCCCCAGGTGTGATTTGGCAGTGTCTGGAGACATCTTTGGTTTTCACAACGGGAGGTGGGTGCTGCTGGTATCTAGATGTATAGATGCCAAGGAGGCTGCTAAATATCCTACCATGCCCAGGACAGCCCTCATTACAAAGACTAGCCAGTCCCGGAGAAACTCAGCCTTAGATTGGTGTTTCTCCTTTCTGGCTGCACATTAAAATCATCAGGGGAGCTTTTAAAGTACACTGATGCTGGGATCCACCCCTGACCAATTAAATCAGACCCTCTAGCAGAGGGCCTGGGCTTTAGAGTATGTTTTTAACACTCCCCAGGTGATTCTAATGTGCAGCCAGGTTTGAGAATCTTTACTCTAAGGACTCAACCTTTGAAAGTTACAGCATTGTAGAGAGGAAGGATGATCCAGAATTAATTAAAGAAGGAAGAAGAGTGAACAATGCTGAACTGGATGCAAGACTATGACTGTGCAAATCCTCCTATTTCAGATTTAGGTTCTTTACTGGTAAATTGGAGAAAACAGTTGGCAGTTCTTTTACTCACTGGAGCATGATGAAGATAAATGAGTTACAGTTGCCCTAGAGTTTTACGATTAGTAAAAACCAATGGATGGATAGAATAAATAGTATAAGCAGATGCCTGTAGTCTAATATCGCAGCTCCAGAAAATCTTCGAGGAAATCTTACACATGATGGCAGTGGGACAGGGACTTGTTTTGTTTTTGCTTCCCTTGAGTCTCAGCAAAAGAACAGTAATAGAAAATCTTTCCAAAAAATTGAGATATAATTTTGCTTGGCAATTAGAATATATCCTCTGTCAGCTATGTTCAGCTGTTAGACCTATTAACCAATCCACACCAGGCTAATTTATTTCTAAACAAAGTGGCGACTGGTGTCCAACACCTTTTCTGAGAAAGGGAAAAATGGCCTCTTCAAAAGATGCAATTTGGTATAGACTTGTCTGACTCTTTTGTAGTGTCCTGGAGTGGGGAGCATATACTACCCTCGCAGATAAACGAAACTTTACCTGTGTGTATTGTGTCACCCATATCCTGCTATAGGAGAAAAACAAACAAACAAACAAGAACATTTCCATGAACCAGTTAGATTCCTTTAGACTTACAGGGAGGCTAAAATCACAACATCAGGAGAGGCGTTAGCATTTGGCACCTTGAATGAATATGAGAAATATGAGACCCAGGGTCTGTTGGTAACCAGAAGAATGGATACATTTCAACAGCAGTAATTTGCATGTGTGTATCACTTTGTCACTTTGAAAGCACTGGGACTCACGTTTCACACTGGATGTTCACAAAGACTCTGATTTAAGCAGGGAGTATTTTACAAACGAGAAAATTGAGCTTCAAAGACACAGGTGGGTCTTATACAGCAATCTGCTGATTTTTTTTCTAGCACTGTCTTTGAAATATCATCTGGTCTCCTTGTTAAGATTTAAACTGCTGTGTATCATCAGAACAATAGCCAATTAACTAATTGTGGAAACATTTACAATCATGCTTCCATGTTTTCAAATTTCCTGTCACCTAGTTATGAAAGTATGTATCTCTATACATATTATTTATGGTTGTTTAAAAAGGCAGGAATTTGACTAGGAATTTTGGTTTGGTTTAAATAACCTCCTAGATTATTTATTGAGTATTTGAGCAAAGTTTAAAAAATATATATATATATAAATAATTTCAAATAATATTTATGATAATGTTTCTGATAATATATGCTTCATACACCTAGATTGCTTGTTACAGATGAACAACTGACAATAATATTTAGTTTTCATATCCCAAATAGTACACTATCTTCCTTTTTCCTAAAGGTTTTTATGCCTATTCCAAACTTGCTTTAAAAGACTTTTTTTTTTCCAGGTATGGCAAACGATCTAGCCCAGAGACACTGATTTCAGACCTCTTGATGAGAGAAAGCACAGAAAATGTTCCCAGAACTCGGTATGACAAGGCTTGTGATGGGGACATTGTTGCAGAGCTCAAGGTGCCCAGGGGAGGGAAGTCAGAGACGGCGCCTGGTGGGAGGCATTGGGACAGGGGCTTCTACACTAGGGGAGATTTCGGCAGAAATGAGGATGAAGAAGCAGGCAGAGGAGACCTCTCTTTTCATGTACTCACTGTCAAATCTCTAAACGTCTGTGGAATAATATTTTCTAGCCCAGGTTATTTGGTGCTCCTTTGACAATTTTAAAAATAATTGACTTTTAACTTCGAAATTATATAGAATTTCTAACATTGTTGGAATCAGGGGAGCATAGAGTGAGTCCCTGGCTCTAAATTGAAATGACCAACTGTCCATCTCTGGCTGGGAAGATCTGTCGTTTTTATATATGTGGAGCATCCAGATGTCCTAGAAAATGTCCCCCATGGTTTTTACTCCAACTTTCCCAGTTTTACATGAAGCTGTAGGTAAATTAGATGCTCCGGATTACTTTTTGACATATTTGAGTTCAACTTGTGTCACGTAGTGATTTATTACATTCAATGAATGCACGTTGAATGACAGTATTCTTAGGAGTTTATCTGTAGTCTCAGGACTTTCTTGCAGTTTGGGTCTGTCTTGGAAAGAGGTGCCCACCAATGTCTAAGTGTTAAACATTGAGCTAAGATTTTCTGGTGCCTCCTGGACAAGGAGTGCTGCTGAAGAGGAGCCGGGTCCTCTTCCATCTTCATAACCTCCTGGCTCTTCAGTCCTTGCTTCCTGTCTCTAACCACAGTAAGATCATAGTGCACAGGGTCCACCCATGTCTGCGGCAGCTTGGCTGCCTTAAACCCAGAGTTCTACAACGTCAAGAACAAAGTTCCCCAGAAGAGGTCACTAGAACACTTGCTCAGTGAGTGTGACTGACATGTGGCTCTCCAAGTTCTCCCTAGAGACTCAGCAGGGTGACCCGCTGGGCCACCCACCTTCCCGTCTAACCTCCCTCAGTTCTCTTGTGAAATGGCCAGCCAGAACGAAGGGTGTTAATACAGAGTTGTGAGATTTGGTTTCTCTAAAGGGAACAATGATTGGAACTGAGATAAAACTCCAGTGCTCCTGTCCCTGGAGGAACCAGCCCAGACTTAAATAGCGAATGCAAGGGAAACAGGTAGAAAATGTGTAAGCGTTGTCTTCTTTAATTAAAAATTATTATTATTATGATTCAGAGACAAGGTCTCCTTCTGTCACTCAGGCCGGAGTGCAGTGGTGCAATCATAGCTCACTGCAGCCTCGAGCTCCTGGCCTCAAGAGATCCTCCCTCCTCAGCCTGCTGAAGTGCTAGGATTGCAGTTGTGAGCCACAGTGCCTGGCCAGGGTTGTTTTTAATACTAAGCAGTAAATGTCTTTCTATGTTTCACTGACATGCATATGACGTTTGCCACAGTAAAATGTTTAGGGTAGGCTATATCTACTTACTGTTAGAAAAATAACAACCCAGACCTACTTGGTTTTTGTCTTTGTTTTGTGGCCCAGTTAGTGCATGAAGTAAAATTAATTGCACCCTGATTGACAGACTCCATCATGTGCAGTTAGAAGAAGACAAAATTTGACAGTCTTGAAGTTGCCTATGAGTGCTATTTTATTAAAAAGATCTCATAGTCTAATAAGTAGCATCTTATTACATAATAAAGCTGGCAGGAAAAGGAAGCATATTTAGAGTTGAAGAACAATAACTTTCCTCTTATAGCTTCATGTGATTTCTGTAATTTTGATTTCAAAAGATTGTGTTCTTTGGCTCCTTTGATACATACAGAGCCTTTAAAACGCTCCCTCTGAGGTTTGCCCAAGACTCCTGTCAACATCATGGAAAACTGCTCAGCTGGGGCTGTGCACATTGTGCCTCTGCCTCGCGTTCTGATATTCCACGTGGCTTCTGGTTTAGAATGCCAGCAGGAGACTTTTCTACAGTTCCCGTCATCTTTCACTTCCGAGCTAAATGTCTCACCCTTGCTAATACTCAGGAAGTTGGGCAGCTTCCCTTACATGCTTTGCTTCTTATGTTTTACAGGCTTGAAGACCCTTCAATGTGGTGATGGGAAATGAAACTTGCTCTCTGGCCTTTTCCTATTTTCAGCCCATATTTCATCGTGTAAAATGAGAGTCCACCCATCCTACCAATGCATGCAGCCATTGTGCTGAATTCTGCAATGTTTTCCTTTGTCATCGTTGTATATATGTGCATTTAAATAAAGTATCATGCATTCAAAAGTGTATTCTCCTCAATGAAAAAGCTATTACAATAGTGATAGATATTAATAATATTATTATATCTATAGTGATAGATATTAATATCTATCACTATAATAATTTTATTTTGTAATAATAAGTTTAATGAAAATAATTAGTCATTATAGTCTCCCTCAACTAGCAGATTCAGAGTTTGTTTCACTAATATTAAAACAGCAGCTGTGAAAGGTATGACGATATGATTATTCATGATAACCAAGATCAGCTGTGTGGGTGTGTATGTGTGTGTATGTGTGTAAAACATATAGATGCGTTTGAAGATATTGATCAAAGGAATGCTAATTTGAGAAACTTTTCTGAGCTTTCCCCCCAGTCACATGGAACCCTTGCTAACCTTGTTAGCAGTGCTGTCAGCAGAAGGACTTTCTGACTAACTAGAGCTTTCTGTGAAATGTCCTTTATCCCTCTGTCTAATATGGCAGCCACTAGCCACATGTGGCTTTTGAGCCCCTGAATGTAAGTTAGTGCAAATAAAGAGATGATTTTTAAATTTTATTTAATTTTAATGAATTTTAACTTAAATGGCCATTAAGTCTCTAGTGGCTACCATATCAGACCGTTGAGGTCTACACATCTATTTTGGTCACTACTCTTAGAATTTGAGTCAGAAATACAATGAGTGGGATGATTATCTTTTCATACAACATGGGGCATGTCAATTAATTTAACTGAAACTTATTAAACTTCCTCCTTCAAGTACCTATTTGCATAGGCTTACTTTAAAATTAATGTTATTATATTTTTACATGTCATTTCTAAATCAAAGAAAATGAGTCTCATCCCATACTGGTAGTTCATACCACACTGTAAAAAATATGCACAAATACGTTTATGTGACATCTTAAAACTTTACAAAAAAAATGCATTAATAACAATATTCATCATGACCTAGGGAATCTTGTAGAATATACAATATTCTCTGCACATAAAAAATTATAACTTTTTTCAGGCAATGGAGTCAGTGTTGCTACAAAATGTAATTTCCTTTAATGAAACTAAGATAAAACTGTTCCACAATGTCCCTAAAATTTTCTTTATTTTTATTTCTTTATTATTGGAACTAAATACCAATTTGTGAAACATTTTTAAAATCTAAAAAAAGATAAGTAATAATTTATTACACAACATCAAAATTATTAACCTAGCGTATCTGGGAATTTTCTTTATTCAAATTAGTAATACACAGAGAAAGTTACTCAAAAATCCATCTTTCAGCAGAGATAGGCTGAGTACGCATTACCACGCATATAGTCATATACACTTCACAACATTTTAGTCAGTGATGGCCCACACATATAGTAGTGTCCTATAAGATTACAATACTGAATTTTTACTGTAACTTTTCTATGTTTAGATAGACACACACCTACCATTATGTCACTATTGCCTACAGTATTCAGTACAGTCACTTGCTGTATAGGTTTTTAGCCTAGGGGCAATAGGCCATGTCATACAGCCTAGGAGTACAGAAAGCCACACCATCCAGGTCTGTGTAAGTACATTCATTCTATGATGTTTGCCCAACAACAAGATCACCTAACAATGCATTTCTCAGAAAGTACCCCTATCGATAGTGGATGCATGACTGTAGAACTCTTCATTACATGGACTGGAACAAACAGGAATAATGCATATGAACCATTCAGAGAGAATCCAGGAATTTTATTTTAAACAAAAATTTTAACCTCTTACCTCATCAAACCTAAATACTTAGAAGATTTAGCATTAAACAACCCGCATTTTACTTACACTCAACCCAGACCTTGATCCTTTTGCTTCTTCACTTCATCTTATTAGAAGGAGGACTTAACCTTCACACCATGTGGGCCCCATGAACCTGACTCAGTGACTTTCAAGCTCTCTGAGCTTCAAGTTCACTACACGGCTGAGTTCTCACCCATGAGATGGGGATAATTATTCCTGCCTAAATTTCCACGTATACCTTTATGTGAATCAAAATTCAGGTTAAGATAATGTTACAAGTAATAGAAAACAGGTGGGTAAAAATGGAGTATTTGATGACTCCTGTATTTAATTCTAAATCCCTAATGAACCAGAATTAGCTTTCAGAAATAAAATGATAAACTTTTTTAAAAGTTGCAAAACTGCATTTCAAGAGATTATAGTAATATTTCTCAAACATTTTCAATTTTAGGATGGGAGTAGGTTTGAAATAGGTTTAAATAGGTTTTAGAAAATGTTTAAAGGCACCGGATCACTCAGCTGTCATTGCAAATAATAATAATAATAATGCTTACTAGAGTTACAGTAAGAACAATTTAGCCTTCATTAATGAGATCCCTATGAGCAACATAATCATCATCAAGTAAATCCATCGGCACTTATTAAGGCCTCCTCTGACCCTAGCTCTAATCCATCATCTATGGGTATCACTTGTGCATAAGTTTTTGCAGGTGTCATCATGTTTTTATTCTGATTCCTACAACGCCCAAGACAGAGTCAAGCAGATGGTTAGTGCCTCAGTTTTCACAGAAAGGCCTATAGGAAGTAAGTGACTTATCCTACCTCATTCAAGTTACTGGGACTAGAGAGCAGCTCCTCTTTATTTTCAAAAACTTTGCAAAACCTTTGCAAAAAGTTTTCAAAAACTTTGCCCTGCTTGACAATGTCTTCCAGAAGTGAGTGCAAGTGGAGACCAGGTTGTGCATGGTCTAGTTAAGAGCATAACTCTGGTGTATCACCCTGAAGACAAATCAGAGAGTAATGAAATATTACACAGATTATGTGAGAAGTATTGAGAAAAGGAAATCAGTGTGGGCCGACTAGTTGAAAAATGCTTACTAGTGAATGTGGATTGAGCTGAGAATAGGAGGTTTTGGGTCTGGGCTAAACTGTGTGGATTAGCACAGCTTGTGAAGGGAACCTTCAGAGCTCTACTTGACAGGAACAGAGAGAGAATGGCAGAGGCTAGACTGAAGAACTAGGTCTAAGAATGGCCAAACTCATTCATTCACTTAACATATTTTCATCACCTAATATCTATTGGACTTTGTACTAAGCACTGAGGAGACAAAGATTAGTTTCTCAGGGAATTTACTATCTAATGAGGGAGGCAAATAATTACAGTGCATTGTTGGAAGTGCAGAGATGTGTCAGAGCTTTGAGAAGTAGTTAAGTGCTAGAACCTTCCCATTCATCATGCTTCCGTTTGCAGTTTCCTGACAAGGAGGTGTACATAGAAGAGTCAATTGCCAACTAGGAAACAGAGCCAGGTGAACAAGCATCCAATGAGGCCCAGATGTAAGGCTGCCTGGTAAGCTGAGTCAGGGTGCCTGGCTGCAGCTCAAGCCTCTAGAGCACCTGTGTTTCCAAACCAAATCTCAGCAGCCTAGTGAAGAGTGACAGGAAAAGTAAGGTTTCTGGGGAAGATTCCCAAATCCACTTACCCAAATAGCCACATAGATCAGAAGGGCCAGCCTGTCACATCTAGCAGCAGATGGAAGAAAAGAAGGGCCACTTGTGACTGCTCGTTACCTTTCAACTGTGTCCCTGCCCGTTAAGGCAATGTGGTCTAATGAATCAGTCAGAATAGCAGCTGTCTCCTATGCAGAGGGAGACAGGAAAAGAGAAAGAACAGAGGCCAGAGGTCTCTATGGGTTAAGGCTAAAATGTGGACATCCCACAGACCCTTCAAATTCAATATGTTGGCTGGGCACAGTGGCTCACGGCTGTAATCCCAGCACTGTGGGAGGCCGAGGCAGGCGGATCACCTGAGGTCAGGTGTTCGAGACCAGCCTGGCCAACATGATGAAACCCTCACTCTACTAAAAATACAAAAATTACCTGCGCATGGTGGCACGTGCCTGTAGTCCCAGGTACCCAGGAGGCTGAAACAGAATCGCTTGAACCCAGGAGGCGAAGGTTGCAGTGAGCCAAGATCACGCCATTGCACCCCAGCCTGGGTGACAGAGTGAGACCCTGTCTCGAAAACAAACAAACAAACAAATTCAGTATGTCTAAAATTGGTATTTCCTATTTCAGGGGTAGCAATATCTCCCTCCCCAACAAGAAGTGGACTGTGGTTTTACTGGGGTAGTGAAGGGCACTCACCCCAGGCTGGGGAGAGTGCGGGAGTAGAACAGACTTCCTGGGGCAACTGACTGATGGTTGAGCTGAGGTTTGAAGGATGAGCAGCAATTGCTCAATGAAGAATGCCAGATAGGAGGTAGAGAACATGCAGATATGACACAGTAATGCATATTTTGATTACTTTTTAATTATTTGTGATTCCCATGCTTTGAATTTGATAGTGGTAGGCCTGGACAACTGGGTTATATTCTAAGGGGAAAATCTCATAAGGGGTAAAATCAAGTCTCACAGTCATCCCGAACTCTTTTTTCCCAGGCATTCCTTATTTTCTTTCTTTTTTTTTTTATTAAACAAAACAAAACAAAACAGAAAACCATCCCATCTGCTCTTCCTACAGACTTGACTCCAGGGCATACTGAGGCCTCTCTACCAATATTTTTCTTTCAGCCAAATTAGGATTAGACTTCTCAGCCTGAGATCTCTTAACCACAATCTTACGGACAAATTGACAAATTCAGAGAATAAACGTTGTAGGGGTGGTTCCACACCCAGGGTCAGGAAGGCAAGGACTCTCTATTTCTTTGGAATATTTTATCTTCCATCCTCTTTCTCCTACCTAGACAAGGGTCAGAACAGAAAAACAGATTTAGAGAGAAGGAAAAAACAGCACTGGCTTGGAGTTTGCACACCATCATGTGATGCTTCCCATTAGGTGAAGTAAAGATGGCAGATGCAACTGCTCAATATTGGTAGATGGGTGCAAAAGTAACTGTGGTTTTTGCCATTGAAAGTAATAGCAAAACCAATTTCTTTTGCACCAACTTAACACAGCTATGTGCAGGTCCCATATGTGCTACTAATGACAGGAAGGTAAACATGATGGCAGTTAATTATCTCCTCTCTTTCTAATACAC